TTTTTTTCAATTTTTAAGGGTAATGTCTTCAACTAGATACGATTTGTGATCTTTTGACGTATTTTTGAAAGAAATCGGTCCAGTGAGAGCTGAGAAAAAGTGGCAACAGACATAAAAAAAAAAAAAACACATCATAGTAAAATAATACCTTCTCCGCTTCGCATCGAAGCTAAAAAAGTACTCACATTAGCCAACAGTTATTTAATATTTGAATTTTTATGAAGTAGATATCTAATTAATATAACATATTTTGACTAGACAATTTTTTTTTTTTCAATTTATATTATTTTTATTACGGCAATATGAATACAATTGTTTATCATATATATTTTATTATAAGGGTATGAATGATACGAATTAAACTAATTATTGCTGCATATTGTTGTAGAAAGAAGTATTTTAAGTATGAAATATCACACAGCAATTAAGATTCATGGGCGATTAATTTTAATTAATTAATCCACTACTAATGAAGTTAAATGGATCTTTTTAACTTGAGGCTAATATTATTATACATAAAAAGATTTTATTTCTGAAAGAACATGTTGTGTACTTTTTGTTGATTAAATTCCTGGATAGATGTATTAACGTGTTAAATGACCCGAAATAATTAACAATGTAGTACAACTATATTTGATTAATTAGTGACGGACCGAACGTATGCAAACACTGCACCTCATAACACTTGTTTACAAATTAATGTTAAACTCGTAATTTAGTATGCTAAGTATGGTGATCGAGTATATCCAATTTAAATTCATTCTTATTCTTGCAATGTTTGTATGATATCCAGCAACCATTAGTTATGGGTTGTTAATTCTTTTATTTCTTTTTTATTTATTTTCTTCTGACCGTATTTAACCTGAATATCGAATCTAGCAGTCGTCCGTTTCGATTATTTTATATGACCGTTACGGGTTATCATATGAATAGATTCAAATGGACACCCAAGTAGTCAATATGCTCCTAACAATTCAATAGTAAGTTTTGTATCAATTCTTATTTAATAGTAATAAATTTGAAATTCTATTGTTTAAAAAAATATGTTTAGGTTGTTATGACTAGTTAAAACGT